GCATGTTGCATTGGTAGGAGCTAATCTTGCGCTACTGGTGCCTTCCATTATTTGATGTTTCCTGCCTTTGTCACCGTCATTTCCACCATTCCAACGTCGTCTTTCCTTTGCCGCATTCAACCGTCTGAGGCTCATTCCCTACCTGGCCATCTCTTAGCAGCAGCTTTATTTCCGGTGCTTGAACATCGCTCCCGCCAAACACTCACCCGCATTACATTTCTGCCCTGACATCAATCCACCAACGCGTCTTCTCTGTTCGTCTGCACCCTGGTTATAAAACCTTGAAGCTTCAAAGCTTCTTTGACACGGTTTACTAGGGGGAGAGGCATCTTTGTCTTCTAGACCATCCAGCCAACACGCACCAAAGCGCTTGCGAGATTCAGGGAATAGGAACGACAGTATCATCCCGTATCTTTCAAGTCTACACGACAAAATCATGAGCATGCCTCCATCGGGAGGCCCCAGCGGCCTGAACCCGAACCCCAGACCTGGAGTACCACCGGCCGGAGCACCAGCACCACCGCGCCGTCCACGAGGAATTGCCAATCCTATGGTGCCTCGGAAGAAGCCCGTCCCTCGCCCGATGTCCACTATAGCACCGGCCAATAAACCGGTCGCTCCCCCAAAGCCGATTGGCAAGCCCAAGCCAACCGCGACACCGGAAAAGGCGGCTCCGCGCTTCGACAATCTGCGGGCGAGGAACAACGGATGGTCTCAGCCCCTTCCTGAAAACGGACAAGAGTTCCCTCTTTTCGTCACCAAGAAGGCACTGAAACAAGGCCTTCGCCATCATATCATGCGCTTTGCTCCTCAGAACCGAGGCGTCCGGCAAACCGCGATCGATCCGACCGACCAGGATCAGTTCCCCCGCCCCGTAACCTTGCAGCGCCGCGATCCCAGACAACCCCCTCCCGGCCGCGAGGTGAAGGAGGAAGTTGTTGAGCCGCCCCCAGCCAACAATGAAGAGGCGGAAAAACTGGCCCTACTGAAAGCACAGCGCGATGCCCAGCGAGCTCTCGACGACGCACAGAAAGCTCCGGTGCTGAAGGAGTTGGAGCGGAAAAAGCGAGAGCAAAAGATCAAGGACGAGAAGAAGACGGCGACGCAGGTCCATTATGCGCCCCGTACCGACCGGCAGAAGAAGGAGCAAGAGATCCGGTACGAGGAGGCCCTGCCATGGCACCTGGAAGACGCGGACGGGAAACACATCTGGGTTGGGCAATACGAGGGACCGCTGTCCAACATGAAAGTCGCGTTAGTCCCCCATCCCGAGTCCGGCGGGTATCGCATCTTGCCGCTGGAGAAATGGTACAAGTTCGCCCCCAGACGAGCGGCGTTCCAGTCTCTGCCGATCGAAGATGCCGAGAGGCTAATGGCGAAGAAGGCTGCCCCGACACGCTGGGCCATAAGAGACTCGGAGCGAAACAAGCTTGCCGCTACTCGGGAAGAATCTCGGAGGATCATGTACGGCCGAGTAGCAGTGAAACAAGAGAGCTCGACCTTTGCGCAAGCCTCCAGGGGGGAGAAGATGGAACATGACGATATCGACATGTCGGGCGACGAGTTCCAGGATGACGACGAGACCGCTGGCTTCGAGCCCGACAAGGACGAGGATGTCAAGGACTCCAAGGAGCGAGTGCGCCGGGAGATGCTTGCTGCCAACCTATTCGGCGATGCGGACGAGAAGAAGGTTGAGAAAGAAGAGGAGGAGATCAAGAAGGAAGAGGAGGCCAGAAAGCTGCTCGGCAAGAGTCTGAAGAAGGCCCTGCGAAAGCGCGACAAGCAGTTTCAGTACGACGACTCCGATTCTGAGGATCGGGATCCCTTCGCCTCTTCATCCGTAAGTCATCTTTGTTACAGGTCTCCCCTTTATTTTTGGAACTAGAGGCTAATGTGTTAATGACCACCAGAGCGATTCAGACTCCGAGACCGACTCGGAGGACGAGGACAGGGAGAACGATAAGGACAAGGATAAGGACAAGAAAGACGAGAAAGACAAAGCAACTGGGGCAGCTAAAGGAGAGAGTACCCCTCAAGGAAAGAAGAACGCGGCTGAAGCGGCCAAGAAGGGCAAGTCACTCAAACGGCCGGGATCCCCCTTGGGCTCTGATTCCAGCGAAACCGAGTCCTCACGGAACAAGAAGAAGAAGAAGCTTGGTCCCACGGGCTCGGGCGCAGCCACTCCGCTACCAGGTGGCCGGGGCGCCGGATCTACCAGCGACGGAGAAGCGACAGCGGGCGAGATGTCGGACGGTGCGGGAGGCAGGATCAAGCGACGGGCCCATCTTACCGGACCCAGGGGCACGCCATCCGGGTCGCGCGCAGGCAGCCCTGCCCCGCCCTCGCGGCTTCAGCAGGCCGGACCGCCGAAGCCCGTGACTGCGCAGGAGATCGTCGACGCACTGCCGCCGCTCCCTCAGGGCATCACCATCGGTGCTCTCCTCAAGCAGTTCCACGGCCGCGTCGAGCAGGAGGGAACACTCACGCGGAAGGAATGGCTTCAGCTCGTCAAGGAGAACTCCGTTTTCAGCGCATCGGATAAGCTGCTGCGTCGGAAAGCGTAGAATATCTCCCCCGCAGGGAGCAGCCTTGTCCCGCCGAAGCCCGTCACTGCACAGGAGATCGTCGATGCGCTGCCCCCGCTTCCTTGCGGTACTACACTCAGTGCACTTTTCAAGCAGTTCGACGGCCGCGTCGGGCAGGAGGGAACACTCACGCGGAGGCAATGGCTTCAGCTCGTCAAGGAGAACTCCGTTTTCCGCGAGTCGGATCAGCTCTTTTGTCGGAAAGCGTAGAGGTCTCTTTCTCTCTCTCTCTCTTTTCCACCCCCAGGATTCTGGGGTTTGCCTGCATTGATAGTTGTAGGTGTTTCGAGAATGGCTCATCGGTCTCCTTTTAACGGTTCGGTTCGGTTCGGTTTATGCGGATTTTGATAATCAGTATCAGAGGGTCGTCCAGCGAAAGGGAAGGGAAGGGAATTGCCAGGGCCGGGACTGTGTAGAAGGTTTGTGCATGGCAGGCGTTGCGATCGACACACTGCGCTGCACTTTGTTGCTTTGACTCCTTGCCCCGGTACATTGACGTTGCATAGAGGAAGAAAAGGTAGTAAATAAAAAAAGACAAAAAACTTAATAGACCTTGAAGAAGGTCAACAAACATTGCTTCTTCTTCTTTTGGTGACGTCCAGTTGTAACTTGGCGATATAAGCAAGGGCGGTATTGCATGAATATTAGTATATAAAAAAGATGTGGTACAAGAAAGTCAGGTATGTCAAGTCAATATAAGACAAGGCAAGATTACGTTTAAGTTGTTAAGTCAAGTCTGACAAGTTTCCACGGGACATGGAGATGGAAAAGAAAAGAAGGGGGTATATATATATAACCTGAAGTTATTCTTCCTTCCACTTCTCCCGGACCTATGTTCGGGGCATTTACACCAAATATCAAATCAATTTAATTCAACTTTTTACACATCCATCTGCCACGAATAATCCAGATCCCTATTCCTCTCGCGCCTGTTAATCGTCTTGAACCTCTCGGCCTCGAAGCCGTTGGACCTGTCGACGCCATCCCACCGGTATCCGGGGGGGATCTGGTACCGGTTCGGCTGCCATGCGCCTTTGTATATCGGTCTCCTGTCCTTTTTCCCACCCCCACCCCCACCTCCTCCTGAGTGAGATGTAGATTTTGGTTTGATGAAAGCGGCCATGGTATCCCCCCACCGGACCTGCTGCCTCATTTCTTTGTTCAAGGCTTCGTCGTCGGCGTGTCTGGCGAGGGGCATGATTTTCGCGTCCTCGAGCTCCTCTCTGCGTCTCAGCGCGTCTTGTTTCTGTACCTCGCCCCTCTGGGCTTCTTCCTGCTCTCGTCTTTTCTGATTCCGGGCCTCTTCTTCGCGGCGCAGTTCCGCGCGTCTGAGAGCCACGTCGACGCGTCGGCCGGTGGCGTCGCGGAACACTGTCTCGGCTTCTTTTTCTTTATTTTGGGAATGGGAGGAGGAGAGGAGCGAGTGTTCGGCAAGTCGGTGCACTTCGCGCTGGGCGGAGATGGTGGCGGCGGTTTGTAGGCCGGCGTATGTCCCGTCGGACATCATTACGGGCGCGGCGGATTCTTCTTCGTCTGCGTCTGCTTCTGCGTCTGCTTCTTTGGCTAAAGCGTGCCGTTCCGCGGCCGCGGAGGCGAGGATGGCGTCTGCTTCTGCCTTTCCTTCGTCTGTTGTAGCGTTTTGAGGTGTTGATGTGGTGGTGGTGGTGGTAGATGGGGCTCCGCCGCCGAGAACTTTCCACCCTGACTTCTTCGCTTTCCGGAACTCGGCCGTCGAGCCGGCTATCGTCATCGGTGTGTCTCCATCTTCATCGTCCTCGCCGGCCTTATTGCGCGTCGTCGACCATCCCGTTTCGTCGTCGTCTGCTATTATGAGACCTTCTTGTTGCTGTTGCTGCTTTCTTTTCCGCTTCTTGGTCGAGGGTTTGGGGTCCGCTGTTAAATAGTGCGTTGCTAGGTATTGTGATAGATCGGAGGGCATTCTTTTTTGTGTGAGCTGCCGGGGGTATATGTAAGGTAGGTAGGTAGGTAGGCAGCTTCGAGCTGATCGATGGGTGTTATGCGCCTGCTGGTCGGCTCGATGTGCGTCGTTCTTTGAGATCTTAACGGCCGGTTTTGTTCAAATGTTGTTATAAGAACTGTAGTTTGGCATGCGTCCTTTCTCCGGTCCAGGAGGAAAAGAAAAGATTAATATCGTACGAAATCGAGGCAAGTAACGCGCGTCTATGCCTCTGTGACCTTGGGGATGATGTAGTTGGAAGCTCACAATTATCCCCGATAAAGGACCGATAAAGCCGCCGCCAGAAATGTGTGGGGACCTGCAATGCTCCCAATCCTAACCTAACCTCCGATAGTCTAACTTAGCTTCATCCCACACAGGAAACCATCCTCCACGTAAAACCTTTAGCTTTTAGGCGGCTAAAGGCAGTCCAAACCTCAACAAATCAAAAACTACTGGGACCCGTAGCTCAGCGGTAGAGCATCTGATTCCAGCTTCCTTCTCTCATAAGAGGATTTGGATTTCCAATCAGCATCCAGAAGGTCATCCGTTCAAATCGGGTCGGGTTCAATTCCTATGTCTCAGTATTCTTCTGAAATCATCTTTTTTTTGTCTTTTTCTCCCTTCCTTCTTTTTCGGTCCCAAGTTTGGATCAAGACTGGTTTGCTTGCGATTTTTTTCTTTTTGCCCGTGTTACGTGATATGTATGCGGGATTTGGATATGATTTCTTTTTCTTGTGGTGTTGGTTCTTGGTATTACCCCGCAGAGGTAAATGGGTGAGATTGTTTTTAATCACAAGACATTGAACGTCAAAGCATGCCTTTGGTTAGTTACTTTAACTCAGTATGCTGTATACTTGTATTTGTGTCTATCCCCAGTGCCCCTGCTCATTCCATTGTCGTTAGATATGAAGCGAGATGAACCCTATGTTAAGTTCTCATAAGTTAGTGAAGTAAGCGTGAGACAGAAAAGCCAAATCGGCATCAACCATGTCGTGCCTAGGTACTCAACCATAAAACACCTTCACCAACCTTGACAGTTGACACTCTAAACAATCTCTATCTAACCTTGCCTCGGCACACCATCCTTATACGCAACCCTCAGTTCCTCAAAACCACTCCTTTCCATCATCCTCTTATCGATCTCCGCCTGCGGCATCACACAACTCGCCAGACGCGTCGCTCCGGCTCTACCGCCTCTCCAAATCTTTCCTCCCCCACCACCACTCTCACCACTACCCAAAACATCCCTCACGATATTCCCCGCCGTGACTTCCGCCGGCTCCTCTATATCCGCCTGATGCCCGCCCGCCGCGCGCCACTTTATGGCCTCCTCGGCAGGCAGGTACAGAGACGAGGCCGGGAGCGCGAAGTGCTGCTGATGCTGCTTGTTGTAAATGTCCGTCTCGACGGCGCCCACCATGGCCGTCACGACGCGCACGCCCAGGGACGAGAGCTCGAGGCGCAGCGTCTCGGAGAGCATCGCGACAGCCGCTTTGGAGCTGTTGTAGATTGCTGTTTTTTTTTATTATTATTCCATCGTTAAGACACAAACAACAGTTAAGGGATGAGTAGATGGTGTAAGAAAGAAAGGTAAGTAAAGTAAAGTATACATACCCTGCCACGGAAGCGGCACAGCGCCCGCAATCGAAGCCACATTCACCACCACACCTCCCCCACCACTATCAATCAACAGCGGCGCAAACGCCTTGACCATAGCCAGCACGCCCCAGAAGTTGACCTCGAACGTCTTCCTCGCCTCCTCGATCGGGGTATCGAGCACAGGCATCAGGAACCCGGCCCCGGCGTTGTTGACCAGGATATCCAGTCCCCTACCACCACTTCCCTCACTTCCCTCACTTCCCTTACCTACTGATTTTCTCTGTTGTATGCGAGCCGTCTTGATCTTCGCAACACACTCCCCAATCGCCCTCTCGTCCGTCACGTCCAGCGCCAGGACCTCCACGTTCGGCAAAGACGTAAGCGATTCGGGGATCTTGGACGGCGTGCGCGCGGTCGCGTATACGCGGCATCCTGCCTCGTGGAACGCGACCGCGAGGGCGGCGCCCAGGCCGCCTGCGCTGCATCCTGTTATGAGGACTGTCTTCATGGCTCTCCCTTTTTCTTTTGGGTCTTCTTTCGTAAAATGCTTTATTTAGAGGATGTCATGTGAATGATTGAGAGTGAAACCTAACCTGAGACTTGTTGATGTGGAGGAAGGTCAAGGTAGATATCGTATAACATGAAAAGGGTTGTTGAAACATAAACAGGCGTTCCTAATCAACGTACTGCGCTTCTTCCTCGTGTGGCTGGAAATTGGCCTTTCAGATAGGGACACAGATACAGCTGTACAAGTTGGAGGTTAGGTTAAAGTAGTACTTTACTTTGTCACTCATTTGCCTTGTTCACCTTAGGTCATACTTGCTTCGTCCAATACGGACATCCCTTGCATCATGTCTACATCCTCCGTTCATTGGATGCCGCGCCATGATTATGCAGATCACTCCTTCACCGCTTCGGATCCAAGCATCATATCCAATCATTATTTATCTATTATAGGAGCGCTGCACATTTCACCATCGACACCTCGCCATTTCGCGGACATACAAACGTCCTCTCCCCAACCATCACGTCGCAGAGCGCAAGAGAATCCTGGCTTATCCAATCGCCAGGTAGGGCAAACAGCTCTTGCGCTTCCTCTGGACTACCTCTCGAGTGCCTCCGACCCACTGGCACCAGACCTTGCCGCGAAATGACAGGCTCGGAAGCCGGCTGCTTCTTTCCCTCCTCCTCTTCGCCTGTCCAAGATATCCGCGTCGAGCATATCGAGAGATTCTTGGAGAGGTACACGAGGCGATTCCCGCGCAGAAAAACAAGTGCGTTGAGTATTTGGGAAGAAGTGTCTGGGTTCAGAGGTCGAAGGCCTATAGCTCCAGGATGCCATGGTTCTGTGCTGTGCGGTGAAGAACTCGAGGTTGGTATACCGTCGGTCTTGAGAAAGTAGAACTGAGGTTGGATATCTTTCCTCGGGTGCTCCATTTGCAGGAGAAGATGTTCCTTATCCTGGGCCGGGAGCAGTTTCGAGAACCGTAGTCCCTCGGAAATTTCAGCCCGGTAGGTGAAATGACACCTGGAGACCTGTGACAGGTCCCAGTTGTAAACCACAAGATCTTGCGCTCCGTAGCCCAAGATCAATGTCTCGCCTTTGGGGTGTTGGGCCCAGCCATCCATCGCCACATCCACGAGATCGGATGATCTTTCGACAGTAAATGTCTCCAGCGAAACGATATGAATCTGTGAAGCTGTACAGACGAGGAGGCGGCCGGAGTCAGGGCGAAAAAGTAGGTGGGAGATTGGCCCTTTCACGTGCTCCCTCATGTCGATCGTTGCTCTTATTTCCCAATGCAAATCTGCCTCGGCAGATGTAACTGACGCGAGAGTAATTCGTCTGCTAGCGTCCGTAAAGCAGAGGAAGCTTCCATCGGTATTCCATACTATTCCTTCCACGGGGAACTTTGCTGGCGAGGTCCATAGGGTCTCTGCACTCGCACTACGGACGTCGTGTAGCCTAAGCGCACCGTATGTCGTGCCGCTGCATACGTAATGGCTGCTCGGGCTTGTTGACAGGGAAGCTATAGGGTCAACCGCCCCAAGACTGGCGAAAGAAACATCAGCCGAGAGGGAGCCACCGTAGACACTTGGAGGGTCCATGTTGGTGCCTGTAAACGCCTTGAACTTGGCCAAGCTTGCTGGTTCCCAGGCGTTCGCATGGTACCCTCTGATATCATACAGTCTTCTGGAATCAGGGCTGAAAGACAAGCCCAATACCGTGTCTTGCGATGTCAGCTGATAGAGCAAGGTGAAATTCTCTGCAGTGTAAATCCTGATTCGCCCACGCCTGTCTCCAGTGGCTAGACGCTCGCCGTCTTTACTAACACAAAACTTCATTGCCCCGGTCGACACTTCTTCGGTCCTGTCCTCGTACGGCGCCCACCGGAATAATGTCCCCTCAAGGTTGAGGCCAAAGACCTCAGGTAAATGGGGATGCCATCTGAGCTCCTTGACCTCCCTCAGATGCCAGTTCCCATGCAGATACTGGGAACCGTCTGTAACTTACCGCAACTCTGCTACCGTCTCGGCTTAGACACATTTGACTGGGCGAATTGGCGAACTGCCCTTCGACCTCTTCTTCGTCTAGTCTTGCAACAGGCCGCCATGTAGGTTCCTTGTCATTCAGATTGACTGACCGGATACACCTGTCGTCTGTCGCGACAAGGAGTACCGAGTTATCCTCACTGAATTGCATAGATAACGATTGCACGTAGGAATCCGAGTGTGCTATACTCACCAAGCACTTCCCGGATTGGACATCCCATACTTTGAGAGTGTGGTACCCGTATGTAGCTGCTAGTGTAGCAGTGCGGTTGACATGCATCGTCGTCACAGTCTCGTCATGTTCCAAGGGACTTTGTGGCAACTGGCGGAAGTCTGTTGAGTCATAGAACTGCAAAGCCCCCGAGTCTGTCAAGACAACAACCACCGAACCAACAGCATCGACGGCGGATGTCATCTCCTTGCCGGTAGACATTCGGGCCACCGAGTCGTCCCATTTATCCCTCGAGGGGCCCTTGACAATCAATCCGTCCTTCCTTGCAAATTGTTGATACACAGGTGAGCTTCTAGGGCAGAAAGGCGGGATAAGAGTGTAAATCGAGTCCGGCTTGCGATGTAAGGCGTGGCCGAACTTCGGGGGTATTCGTAGCATGTCCATAGCCCAGTTCTCCAAGAACTCAACGTCTAAAATATTGGCTTCATCACTTTCTTTGCCTCGCCGTGACGCGTATCGGGAAAGGTGCCTGGATGCTTGGATCATCGTGTGGAGCTGTCCGCTCGACGCCAGGAGATGAATCCAGGTAAGTGACCATCTCCCTGTGAGAAACCTTTTCAACGCTACTGAACATTCCTCGTCTTCTTGTGCAGTTTGGGCGAGATGGACCGGCCAGAATTCTGCGGCGTACCGTGCGAAGCTCAGCGGCTGGCCGTTAGCGAGGTCGCTTCTGAGACTGTTCGACATGAGGCATCGCAGCCCGTCAAGCAATATCTGCTTATGCGCTTCTTGCCGGTCTATTCGGAGAGGGCGTTCGGTATCATCGCCGTCTAGCAGATAATCACGAGCAGTCTTGTGGATCATAACCACGTTGCCGTCTTTGTCGGGAACTACGAACCCCCCTCAAAGATCCGTAATCGCTCGGGGCAGGTCCAAAACGTTCCGTGCAAGATCACCCAGAGCTTGTGACAGCTCGCCAATAGACAATGCGCGGAGAGTACATGCAGTGCTTTGGATTACTCGTATAGCAAGGGCTCTACTCCTCTTGCTTGGTAACGCCGCTACTGCCGATGCCATTCGATTGTATAGTGCTTCCATGCCCACGGGGAAATCATGTAGTACCGAGTGTACATCCGTGGAGATATGGCATTGATTCACCTTTTCCACCGCGAGCCGAACCCACTGTGTACGCGAGTTAACATCAGCGGAAAGAAGACTGGGATGTGACTAACGAGAAAGTTGT